GCAAAGGTGGGAGGATTCTGTTAAGGGTTATCTGGCAGGTTTTGACTGAGGTGAATGGATGGAAGTATTTAAAATATCAAAAACTGTCTTTCTGTATTGTCCGAGGTGTCCAAGGGATATCAGAACTATTCTTCTCTATTAACTTATACTATGGATTTCTAGTTTGTTGTTTGCTATAAAATAGAGCAATATATTAATTTTTAAAAACCTAAACATATGATAATTAACGCATGGCATCTGGGAGGCTATTTACAAGAATTACGGTTTATCTCAAAGACCGTATATTCTGGTGGCTTAGTAAATTCCGAAGAAACTTTACAAGGTCTTGATTTTCACATCAAAATCTTTAGAACATGTTTGTCCCTTTTTGATCATTAGACTTACCAACATTGGATTTCGAAACCACCTTTTTTTTTTCAATGACCCACTGAACCTATTATAGGAATTTAATGTTCAAAATTGGAACTGGTCACTCCTGCTAGAAATCACCTTTTTTTAACACTTTGTTCGTCAGACTCCATTGTTCCGATAAGCCAATGTATACTTCATGTTCTACCGTGTTATATATATTGTAGATGTGATGAAAATTCAACTAGTTTGCCTTTTCTGAAAAAATTATAATTTTATAGTTGCTTATTGGGACTGAGTATATAATAGTAATGTTTGTTGTATTTGATGTTTGGAGATTAATACTTTTATTCTATTTTGCTTTATGGCATACATTATGATTTTTGGCAACTAATATTTAAAATATGTGATATCTAGTATACCCCAGTGAAAACTTCAACCTTTATGCATTCAAAACATGTTAATTTTTATCTACAATATATTACCAAGATAGTATATTCAACACACCCAATTAGTGATGCTTCAAACTTTACCACTGCTGTTATAACTATTTACTTGTCCCACTGGAAAATATCCTTCCAATTTAATATTTAGTCAATAAGACACATTCGGGAAATGGAAAAAGAAGTGAGAACTTACTAAGAGTATCGAAATCATACCTGAATAATTTATTTTATAGGGCCGTTCGAAAAATAATGCCCAATTTTGGTTTAAAAAGAAAGATTTACAACTATTTTATTTATTTAAAATAGTCTCCATTACTATCTATCAATACATTTCTGCCAATGTGTTGGCAACTTTTCCATTCCCTTGGAATAGAATCTTTAGGATTGATAAACTCCAAAAACTCATTTTCTAATTCTCTTTATCCATTAAATTTTTTGTAATGTTAATAGTGGTTCAACTGTCTAAAAAAATGATAATCTGTAGGTGAGAGTCTCATGTCCAAGCTCCAACAGTTTTTGTGATGTCACACGTGAAACATGTGGCCGGGCGTTGTCATGCAACAAAATGGGCTCCTTCCGATTGATCAATGATGGTTTCTGATGCATTGTATTAATTTGGTTACAATACGATTTGGCATTGATGGTTTCTGGAAAATGGGGCAGATAGAGTGGAATAGTGTTGATAGTGTGGAAAGGTAGGAATTGTAGGATTGGGATCTGAAGGCTGCTATTGTCTTTTTTTAATTGTTTGGAATAATTGTTATTTGGCTTCCGATCATCAGGGTGCCTGGTACTTAGCCAGAGGGTCCTAGAGCATCGTTTGGTGTGGATAAGGTCCAACAGGTGTTGGGGTAAGGGATTTATTTTTCGGTGATTTGAGGAATGATTAGGTGAGGATGCAGTCCAAACTGTTTGTTAGATGAGGGTAGTACAAGAGTGCACAGCATTGTCAAGGTGTTCATCATGCTTTTTTAGGAAAACTCTGAGGTCTATATCATTATGTAGTATTTGACGGAAGAGGTTCCAATCAATTGGGTCACTGGTAAATGAAGGTGGAGGTAATTTGGGAATCACTACTATGTCAAGGGATAGGAGTAAGGGACTGTGGTCAAAAGAAAGGTCATGGAGCCGGAAAATTGAAGTTGTCCGACACCTATATGAATAAAGAAATCAAGGAGATCAGGATTAAGGTGAGGGTTAGTCGGGAAAAAGGATGTTGCTGCGATGGGAATTAAGTACAGACTGCTATGTTAGCCCTCGGGTGTTTGTAGTCCTGGCTCCCCATTGCTGGTGTTTTGCATTCAAGTCTGCATCTAGAAAGAAGTGGTGTCCTAAGGAATTAAGGAAGGAGTTAAGTTAGAATTCAGATATGGGTATTTTAGGAGGGGAATATGCTGCAACAAGTGTTACTGGGAAAAGAGAAGGTTGAATTGTTACAGCAGTGGATTGTAGGAAATTATGGGATGATAAGGGGGACAAATGATGAGAAAGGGATTGATGTATGATTACAGCAGTGCCAGCATGCGCTGTTCCATCAGGGTGATCGTTCCTGTAAGTATGGTAGTCGGGGATGTTGATTAGAATTTTGTTTGTTAGTCGGGTCTCAGTTATTAGTGCTACATCAATGTTCTTGTGTAGTAAGAGTGTTAATTCGTTTATTTGATTTTGAATACAATTCACATTCCAAAGTAGAATGGAGAGGGATTTGATTGGAGACATTTATGAATTTCTTGGCGGTGGAATGAGGTGGGTTACAACACTTGTAAGGAGAGTGATAAGTGGGGTGATGAGGGATTTGAACTCAGATATAAATGTTGTAAGTAGGCTGGTGAGGTCAAAGGTGTTGTTAGAAGGAGGAATGTAGGAAATTTGATGTTGGTGGGATTTATCAGTATTAGATCTAGATTGAGGAATGGAAGGATGCTGTGAATGGGTTTGAGGATTTTGAGGAGGACGTGGTGCTTGCGCCAGGACCTGAGATTTAATAGTCTCTTCCATTTCTTCTAGCATTTGTGTGTAGGAAACTCTTGAATTTCCCAGTCTGGAAGGTGCTTTTGGTGGCATGGGTGCTCTGGAAGCCTCTTCCGGTCTGGAAGCTGCCTGTATTCTCTTTCTTAGGTGCTTGTATGCTTGACACCCCTTGTAATTAGCTGGGTGATTTAGGTGGCATAGTGCACACACAGTACGTGTTTTTCTACTCTTGTGGCATTCTTCTGATTTATGTGACTCATCACACCTTACACAACGAGGTTGATGATGTCAATAGTGTCTTGTGTGTCTGTATGCTTGGCAGTTATGACACTTTACAATTGTTCTCTTGGGATAAGGCTTCTCAATAATTACACGCGTGTAATAAGGGCAGCTAAAATTATAAATTTCTTCGATCCCGGATGTTTTCTCCAGATCGACAAAGAATAAAGGCTATTTTGCTTTTCTCACCTGCCTCATTTCTATTTTCTTTATAGACCTTGATAATTTGACATACTCTGTATCCTGTATATGGCTGTCAGTTCTTCTTTTATGGCTTCTGGAGGTGTTGAGAGATGCAGTCCTCTGATTACTACTCTCAGGGTTCTGTCTTGCCATAGTTGGTACGTATGAAAGTTTGCATTCGTATCAGATAGATATTTTACAATTAATTTATATGTTTCAGGGTTGTCAGGCATTAATTTTGTGCCAATTGTATGGCTTAAGCACTCGTACTTTCCTTTGCCCACAATTTTATTCAGTTAATGGCACAACAATTGAAAATTTTTAATATTCCTGATGAATATTGGTGGTGGCTTGATGTCTCTGGGAGTTTGTGCTGCTTCCATATTTTCAACAGGTACATTCGATAGCACCTCATAAGGATTGGGCGTAAAGAAGGGATATTCCTCAACCATCGTTTGTGTAGACATACCAGGTTGGGCCTCGTTTTCTTCGACTGAGTTCATAGGTGTAACAGGTGGAGTCTCTCTTTTTGATCGCCTTTTTGTTTTTGATTTGATTGGTGAAGAACGAGGAGTGATTAAGCTCCTACTGCATTTTATAATTCTTTTCTCGGACAAAACCATGTAAAAATATCTCATCACATATTAAAATGAAAGAAATAAAGATGAGATAGTAAAATCAAAAACAAAAAAAAAAGATTAAAATAAGATATGTAAAGTATATATACATGCGAGCCTTGAAGAGATTAAGTGACACATTCTCTACCTGCCTCGCTCAATGCCCGAAGGCAACTGGCTAATGGCCACTTATGGTATTATCTCCTGCTGAAGTATCTATATTGTTCACTTGGTAAGTTAATAAATAATCGACAACTCACTGTGTTTGTATTACTGCTGTCCACAATGGCACTATTGCTACTGTTTAACACATATTTCACTGTGATATTACACTATTTAACTAGTAAAATAAGAACACTTTAGAGAGACGATGTGATGTAGGTAATGTTAAAATCTAGCGCCGAATTACTTCTAAGCAGCGAAATGCCACGAAGGTATTATCATTTGGGAGAGGATTAATAAGTGCTAACATTCATACAAATAAATAATCCAGTAAATGTAAACAGTTTGTTATGCAGAGGGGTATTATAAAGAAAACTCAAAATCCTGCATTATTTTCCATACAACCCGATATTTGTTAAACATATCAAAATGTTTATTTTTTCATTAAATTTTTAATTTGTTGAAGATTAATATAATGAAAAGCAATATTTTAATTTTCAAAACCTAGACATAAGACATAAGACTAGTAAATATCTTATGACACCTAAGAGGATTTCAATAAGAATTAAGATTTGTCTCTAAAATGGGTGATGTTTGGTCTTTAAAATGCAGGACCTAGTACAGTTCTTTTGAAGTTACAATGGGTCTTGATGTTCTATATTAGAAATCTTCCAAAAACAATTTACCTCATCTCGATTCATTAATTATTGGAACCCCCAAATTTTTTATGACTTATTGTAGTTGTAATAAGGTTTTGTGTTTTGAATACTTCTCGATGAAATTCCTTTTCGTTTACCTCATTCATCAAAATCCATTATTCCAGAGAGCAGAAAAAAGGATCTATTCTATCACATTATATAAAGTGTGGGTATAATATTGATAATTAATTTAATATTTATTTTTTATAATTGATAATATGTTAATTTTTTAGGATTTTTTTCAATATCATCATCCATCAGAATCTATTGGCTCATCTTACTTCCCACAAACCAGTATGTTTTCTATTAATTACTTACCACCTTACAAAAAGCCTCCAAAACTCACTAATGTTCTAGACATGGATGGAAATTTGCAATATCCACCTATAATTACCAAAGACGAAAATGATGAACGTACTGAGCGTAAAAGATTGGCAGCTGAGAGGTATAAACCTGGTGTGGTTAGCCTATTTGTAAGTAAAATACTAAATGATTTGTTTACTTATATCATATAATTTTCCAATTATATTTAAATTTGAAGAAGTATAAATGATTCAACTAATTGAAGTGCTTTTGTATATGGATTAAAATATTCCAAAAACCAAGTGAGGGTAAGGAAAAAGTTCATCCTCTTTGTAATGACCTATTATTCAAAATTGTATCGTAACACGACACCGTGTTACGGAGGGAAAAATGGACAAAATAGTTTCGAAAACTAAATGATAATGAGTTTTTATGTTATTTTTTATCAATAATTTCCTAACTTTGTTATCGTTATGTTATATATCCTAACTTTGCTTCCACTACTTTCTATCCCTAATTTTGTTATTGTTATTTTATATTTTCTTTAAGTTTATTCTACCTACTTTATTTTACTTTAAGTTTATTCTACCTACTTTATTTTACTTTAAGTTTATTCTGTCTACATTTTTTAGACTATACCTTCCACCTACATATTAATTTTTCCTTTTAACGTTAATAGTTTCTCATACCTATTGTTATCTGTTTTTTCTTAGCCCTGAACTTTGGGTAAAAATGTTGGCAAAAATAAAAATAAATATACTTATTTGATTTTTCCAATTTTTTTTTTACTGATCACCCCAACCAATCTTTCCTTCAATTAACTATTTAAACTTCTTTTGAAGATACATTGTCATTGATAAAAAACAGAATATATACATATGTGTGTACAATTATTTTTTCAGTCCTAATGCAGTACAATGAATAATACTGTCAAATACAATAAAACATATTACACTGAAATACAATAACTATATACTAATACAATAGAAATAATAATACAATGGAACAGAACAATACAGTGAAACAAAATTTTTCCTGTTTTGAAACTTCCTTAGAGTTTCTTTTCAGCCATTCCTTCTCAGCTTAATAATAAGTTTTTGAATTTAAGACAATGGCCGAAATAGTGTTACAGTATATTGAAATTTGTTCTGTTTTCAACTCTTAAGGTGGCTTCCACACAATTTATGGTTAGCTCTGTGGTACCTATAACCTTCCTGCTAATGTCATTGAAGATACGGCAATTGTTAAGATAATGTAAAATTATAAATTTACTTTTTTTGCACAATGAGCAGTTCTCTTCCGGCTGAAAGTCTATGGCTTTTTTTGTCAAAACAGGTTGTCGATGCATGCCTTTGTCCCATCAGCCTTTTCTGAGCTAGCTATCTGATTTTAGTTATTGGCATTTTCATGTTTAAATAAGGTTCAATACCATCTAAAGAGCTTATATATCTGTATATGGGGCTGAATGAGTTGTTGAGACCGAACTCTATTACTTAGCCAATAGTTCTGAACTTCCTTAATAATTTCACTCAACTCTTCCTTTGATAGGATGGGTTGATTCTCCACTCACTTTCCATACCCCAATATGTCTAGAGTGTTCTGTTAATAGAGTGTTACCCAGTTGAAATATAGCTTATAGAGCTTGGCAGTCTTAATGTGGATAAGGTAACATTTCTTGCATAAGTCATCCTCTGAGATTCATTGCCACCAACTTAGTATCCTCTTCAAGACTTTGATCTGGATGGGAGGCCCTCCAGTCTCTAATTGTACAAAACAGTTAGGTGTATTGAGTGGAAAGTGGAGAAGCTTTTCAAGAAGTAATAGATGAGCCTTTTCAATTATATCTGTTCATTCAGGATCCCTAATTTCAGATAAATAGAGTAGTGTGCTTTCTGTGATTGATCTGAACAGTTTTATTTTTGTTTGCTATACGTCTGATTTGCAATTTGAGCGTATTTTAAACACCAAATTAGCCATGTTACATTTTGAGCTGAAATAGTGCTCGGGAGAAAAAAGATGACCCAAGTAAATGAATTTGTTTACAAGTTTAAAAGCGTGATTATTGTAAGTTAAGTCTTTGTGCTTGGCTACTCTGCCCCCTTTGTGGAATAAAACAATTATAGTTTTGTTAATATTTACTGTCAGCAATTTAATTTGGCAGTATTGTTCCAGGATTCTGAGGTTGTGGGCAATCGCCCCCCTCCCAATAAAAAAGTTGAGGGGGTGAGAATATCGTTTCACCACCCCAATAATTTGTGGCAAAAAAAAAAAATTAAAATCAATAATAAATAAGCAAAATGAATGAATGAAATGTGTAAACTAAAATTGATCAAGATTATTAATCTAGGGTAGAGTCTAGTAGTAGGCATGTCATGATTTTATTGATGCCTAAATATTAATTTTATTAAAATTGTCATTTATATTCAAAGATAATTATATACAGGGTTTCCTGAAAGGTGAGGGAAATATTAAAACAAGTAATAGCAGACATCTAGAGCTATCATAAACTTTATATAAACAATAGTCCGATTTTCAGCAGAATATTAGGTAATTTAAGTTTCATGTTTTTTTTAAGTAAGTCATGGTTTTTGATGAATAGGAAGCGATAAATAAAACATTAGTTAATATAATTAATTAATTGCTTCACTGTAAACTAGACAAAATTTTCTTCAAACGAAAGCAGAGTTTGTTGTTGTTAAACCCATTTAAAAAAGGGGGCTTTTGAGTGTATTAACCTATGCAGTGAATTATTTGCGACTTTTATTTATCACTATCCAACTAAATAAATATAAATATATTTATAATTGACCAGTTAAATGTTTCCAATCCTAATATCTACATGTAAAATAAAGAAGCTAGCTGATTGCCAGAATTATTTTCATGAAGTAAATAGTATAGTAATAAATAATAGGATTGGAAACATTTAATTGATCATTTATAAATAAGGACCAATTTCTATAATACAGAGCTTAATGAAAAACACAGTTATCATTTTAAATAATAAATATTTGAACAAGTCATTATTTTTAACATTTATTTTTTGGTGAAAATAAAAAGTGTATTTACGAATTTATGTTCATATAATACATCCCAGGTAAAGTGAAAATAAATTAAAGCTTTGCAATAATTTATTGCGGTCATTGATACTGAAAACACGGGTACTCTAAGGTGACAGGATATCAAAACACATAATTTTTTTACACAACTTGAGATAGATTTCAAGTTATTTCATAATAAACCCTCAACATAATTAATATGCACTTAAAGCTTAATGAACAAGAAAGTTTTTATAAAAGTTGGGTATCTGCAGTATAGTTAGTGGGTTGAAAAATAAAAATCGCTAGCAATTCATGATTTTTTAAAATCTGAACTTAGCTTAGTGTATCCGCTCAAAAGTTCTCTTTTAATGGCTTTAACAATTACAAACTCCACTTTCATTTGCATAATTTTGTCTAGTTTACATTGAATCAGTTTTTAATTAATTATGTTTTAGTTATCACTTCCAATTTATCAAAAACCATGACACAAAACTTGAATTTCCTACTATTCTGTTGAAAATCGGACCATTGTTTTTATGAACTTTTTTTTATAGCTCTTGAGGTCTACTATTACTTGTTTAAATATTTCCATCAGTCTGGTCAGAGACAGCCATCAGTTAACATCCTCTGTATTATCACGTGTTTTATTTCGTTTAAGTTGCGTTGATTTTTGAATTTTTTTTTCTTTTCTTTTTTATCTCGTTAAATCTATAACCATAGATAAAATTAACAGCTCGTATTTCCTCACGGTTCCTCGAAAAGTGAACGTATTTAAGTAATATAAACTATTACAAGCCACGGGACTGTGATAAACAACTGTGCTCTGTAGGATTAAGCACTGCTGTTGGGCTTAGGGATCTTAACAACACATCGTGTTATTGTAAGTAAACTTTATTTACTTCATATTAATATGGCTCAATGCCCGGTATGCAGCAGCACCATCAGTCGCGAAGAAAAAAATATTTTATTTTGCGCTAAATGCAAATTATTATTCCATAGCAGATGCTGTAAACTTAGCGATAAAGAGTTCGAGGCTCAAAAATCATCGAATAAAGTATGGACATGTAACAGTTGTGATCAAGCAAAAAAGTTTGCAGCAGGTGGTGAAAACCCGAAGCAAAGTCGCAGCACCGAGCCAACACCGTCAGAAATTCTGGCGGCAGTACAGCGGGTTGAAAAACACGTTAACACCGAAATAAAAAATATTAAAACAGCGCTGGACAAATATGGAGACCTGACCTTTGAATTAAATGCAAGGTTAACAAAAATTGAGAACCATTTAGAGGGACAAGCGAAACATTTTGAGGAAATTATATCTGAAAATAAAGCCCTCAAGTCTAAGGTAGGTGAATTGGAGGTCAGGCTAAATAAAGCGGAGCAAGGCCTTCTTAATAGATCGCTTGAGATTCGGGGTATTCTGGTTCGAGCGGGTGAGACCCCTGCAGCCCTGGTGACAAGTATTGGGGCTGGCCTGGGAATCAAGCTCAATATTGATGACCTGGACACTGTACAGCGTCGAAGAGCGAAGAAGGACGACCCGCGACCACCGCCCATCATCGCACGATTTGTCAGGCAGTCAGTGAGGGACGACCTGGTGCAGAAACGAAAAGTAAAGCAGGACTTCTCGACGCGGAAAATCGGCTGGCAGGAGAATGACTGCCATCGTATCTATCTCGGCGAGGAGATGACCCCTAAGAATAGGCACCTCTACTGGCTCGCAAGGCAGAAGAAAGCCGCGGGGAAAATAAAATATACCTGGTTCGCTTCCGGCACAGTGCGGTGTAGAAAAGACGACGGCCATCAGGTTGTCCTCATCAACCAGGCACAGGACTTAGACGTCTTCGGATGAAGGCTTGAATCTCGTTCACCATCAAGCATCTACGAACATTTTGGCATGCTCACCGGACCTTCATCGGAAATCTTTTATTTTACATTATATTATCAAGGCTATTTATTAACTTATTATTTATATACTTTTTCTACTTTATTTTTTCTTCACGTCATCTAATGTATTTAATCTTTTTCAGCGTCTTTCCATCAAATACCGAATGTCCTCTCCGAAATCCTACTCATGTCTAGTGTCCTAACTTCCTGCCACGTCAACTCCCAATCTCTTCCAGCCCATTACGATG